ATCAGCATGCCAGAGTCAGCCCAAGGCCACATGACCAAAGACAAAGAGACGGGGGATAGGTAAATAGATTAACTGGATGGCTTAGCTCAAATTGGCTCTCTTGGCAATACAGCTTAATGATTTAACAGCATTAACAGTTTATTAACATGGAGCAGGCAACTCTTTGGTACTGAGATGCTGAGCAAGTCATCACCGTGACTCTCTATGCTTCTGATCCTTTACTTGAAGGGGAGACAGTATAATCTCCTTTGCATTATGCTCTAAGGGTTAAAGAAACAATGGAGCAATCATTTCACAGTCTGTCACATACTATGAGTTCAGTAATTAGTACTTTTCTGGAAGCTTTTCCTTTCGCTGTCACTTGCCTAAAGTATCAACATCACCTCTCAACTTCTCCTGTTCCTTAACTGCCATTCTCTTCTCTGTGCACCTCACTCATTCATTTAGTTCCCAAATGCTTACTGAATACCTAGTCAGGCCAGCTGAGGAAACCACAATGCACAAGAGAAATCTTTGCCCTCATAGTGCTTCCACTCTTGCATTTGTGGAAGAAAGGAGACTGACAACAAGCACATAACACCAGGTAAAGTTAAGTTCTACAAAGTACAATAAACTACAAAAAGGAATAGAGAATAATCCCTGAAGAGAGGACTTAAGCAGATCATTAGAGAAAGGTCAACTGCACAAATGAACATTTGATCAGAGCTGTGCAAAGGGCCAATATGGGAACAAGTACGGCATCTTAGTAGATGAAGAACACTTATGCATCTCTGTGTTGTACTGTAACACTGGCTTACATGTCAATTTTGCCATGAGCTTGTGAGCCCCTGGGGGTAAAGGATGTGTATCCCTTTCTCACTCTGCACTCACTTACTCAGCCATTTCTCCTAAAGGCACTCACCTCCCATCACTCTCTTAAATGATGGATTAACAGTGAAGAGCTAACTCAGTAAGTTTTCTGCCTTTGGGAAACTTAGCATCAGGCATACACAGTTTAAGTATTCAAAACACAGGTGCGACATGAATGCTATTTGCTTGGTTTTCAGCTATGGAGTTATATGGAGGTATATGCCTGCCAAGCTCTAGGCTCTCTGCAGCTCTATTCATCCTTCGTTCCTTCCCCAAAAGATCACCACCATCCATCAACTTGTTACTGCCTCTTCCTTCTCCACACTCAACTGCTTACAATGAGCTACATGCAGTCCATTCTACATGGAAAACCATCCCCATCACCGCCACCTTTTCTAACAGAGGAACTTCCACTATTATTTCAAATTTCATTAGTATACTGTTTCATGGTTTGTTCAAATGTGTACAAATTTCTCGAGTTTTTCAGCCAAAACTTTACCATCCAGTACAGAAAGCACAGGAGTAAGTGACAATTCCAGACTGAGTAGTAAAGAGAGGACACTCATGTAATTTCTTTTCTTCCCCCAATATGACAAATTTGAGTGACTTTCTGGTCTTCGTTTCTGCACGTCTGTGCCAGGAAACAAGGCCAGCAAAGTTCTCACTACTGTGGCCCTGTGCACTCACTCACTCACTCACTCACTCATAAAAGAAATGTTCCATGTACAGTAAACAAAACCAATTTGGAACATGAGTTATCACTTAAAGGTCTCCCCTCCCGGGAAGGTCAACAGTTTAGCATCTAAATTATTTGAGATGGATTCCCTTTTCTAACAGTAGAAATTGCAGTTGTACTTCATTTTAAACAGAGGTTAAAAAAAAGTCAGATCTTTATTCTCAGGGGCAATAAGGCAGATTTACAACTTCCAATGCCTCCCCTACAACCTCATTTAGCTGATAAGAACTTATACATAAACTTTAGTCCTTTACCTCCAAAAGCCAGATTCCTCCACTTCCTCCTACTTTTGGCCTCTCACTTCCTCCCAGATGAACAGAAAATGTAACTGGAGCCATTCTTTTGGAAGGACCCAACAGCAGGGACCCAGGGGTAGGCAGTTTCCCTTGACAATACATGTCCCTCTGGGCTTCACAGGGATCCACAGAACAGTGATTCTAAAGTTGGGGGCCTGAGAGGCAGTGTTTCCCACAACGTCTATGCTACCTTTAACCAGAACAGCTATGTCCTAAAAGGCCACGCACTGTGCTTAGAATCACTAACATTTCAAACTCAATGCTCTCAGCCGACATTCCTCCAAAACTGACAGGCCCATGGGCTGTTCCCTGCACTCATCACAGAGCAGCTTCTCTGTATTTCGTCACCAAGTACCACAGCACCCTCTTCACCTGTCTGCCAGGATGTGGGTTTCTGGAAAAATCTGCAACAGTGATTAGACAGTTACCAAAGTGCTCTGTTCACTGACCACCACTCCTCTAAAAGATTCAAAGCCAGGCTACTTCAGAGCTATAATAGGAAATATGTACAGTACAGTAATTATATGGCTGCGTTGCAGCAACCAAGACCAACACTCAGACCCAGTGTTTCTTTTTTTTAATTATATAATTTTGTGTAAGTCATTTAACCACTCTAAGCCTTTAACAGTTCTTCGTCAAACAGATCCTGAAAGTCTCCATGTCATTTGGTACCTATCTATCAGACCTCAAGCACCGGCACTTTCTCACTTTAACTGACTAGCGGCACACAGCTCACTCCCAGCTCTGTTTGCCTTGCCTAATACACTCTTTCACGGAGTCTCACCTGACTGGCTACTCTGACATTCAGCTCAAAGGTCAAAAAGGATCTCAAATGTCCTGGATCTCACAAACATCAAAAGTCACAACAATGAACCTAAAATCAGAACTAATAAAAAAAACTTCAGAGTCATTAAGCACCAAGACTATGTGTCAAATGTTAAATTTAATGGCAGGAAAGGGGTAAACATTATGCTATGGCTAGCTCTGTGAAATCAGTTAAAGTTGCTTCTAAAAGCAAAACATGGGTCTTTTATCTCTCCATTCAGTTTTTCACAAGGCCTGATGCAAAGTAGGCCTGGGCCAAGAGTGGCTACAGATTTCTAAGATGCTTGCTAAGGATTCTTAAATTTGGTGGGAAAAATGAAGTATGTTCAACTAACTAATGCCAGCTATGGGCACTGGGCTAGGAAGGTAACACTATCAAATCAGGCAGAGATTTGAAAATAAAGTTCCCTACAAGTCACAACCCATACGTCTCTACTTTATGACAATTCCAAGATGTTTATAAAGAAAAACATGTATCTTGGATGTTATACAGTTAGTACTAGCACACAGATCGATTTAAAGGTTGACATAATGCATCTTTAGGAGGAAACCTACACTAACCAGACAACAGCCTAGTGTAAAGGAAACCTGAAGGTAAACTGTCACTCTGCAATCAGCTCTGCCACAGACTGTGACCTTGAACAAGTCACTTCATTTCTCCACCTGTGAAATGAGCTCTTGCCAACGCTCAGTTCTGGCTCTTCACTAGGTGCAACTGCTATCTTTTAAAAAAAACGGTTCTCATCTTCTAAGCTTGTGCTCACAGGATCACAATTCATCCTTCAGTACGGAAATCAAAGCAGCTAGACCAAGCAAAGCAACAGATCTTTTCACCACTCTTCTTGCCAAAGGAAGGGTATTTACGTGCAGTCAACCCCTCCAAGCGCTGTGATCAGGCTTTCACTTCCGGGATAGGCAAGGAGACACACTTGAGCTAAACATGCTACAGCTGAGTTTTCTCTGCACAATTTCCTTTTCCTGAGTTCTCATCTCCATGACCCCTATGTTTCCCATCAACTGAAGTCCACCTTCACACTTAGGAGCACATTTCTTGGTTTTGTTTTGTTTTGCTTTTCTATTTTTGGTAACAATGACTAGGACTTACTTTATCACCAGAGTACTCTCCTTACTCTATTAGAAGATATTAGTGGTTTTAACTAGACAAAACCACCATTCCTTTTGCTACCTCACCATACTGTCAAGTGCCTATTAAGGATAGGCACTTGCAATAATAAGTAGCAGCACTTTTTAAATTTACATTAACAATAATAGAAAAGAGATGTCAGAAAATGAAAGCGGAGGGTTACAGATGTCATAAGTAACCAAAGTTCAGAAAAGCTCAAAAAATCATTAGTAGCTTTTTTTTGGCTTTTCATAAAAACTACACTTTGCATGTCCTGGTTAAAACTGCATGAGTAATAATTTGCTTCTCATTAATTAAAAAATGGGGAATGGACAAGGTCTTTGCTAGACGGTGACTGGGCCTCAGACTACTCTTTCTTCAAAAGACAGGAGAGTTTAAAAAAGTAAGACGTCCACTAATTGAGTGCTTTCTCCAAGAGCCATCACCAGCTCAAAATTTCCCGACAGGTTTCTCACCACTGCTAAGCTTGCCACCTGTGGCGGCCACCTGTAGGAGTAAAAGTCTACTGGAGAAGTCGGGATGGCTTTCAGTGTCCATCACTGTCCGTCTTTGACTTTACTATTCACAAAGTACCGGGAAAGGTCTCGTGTATTTTGCCACTGTCCATTAAAAAAAGGAGGAAAGGGTTTCCCACTTTTCTCCTTGACCCATCCGTTTCTGCAACTCAAGCACCCACCAAAGTCTGCGAAAGCAGGTGTTACTACACTTCCTGAGGAAAGGTCGCTCAGCAGGCTGAGTTACCCCACACGCATCCAGCTACACGCGTTTTAAGCGTGGTCACCACGTGGCCCGAGGAGCGCGCTCTGGGTTACACGCTTCCCACGAACAACCGGCGGAGCTGGTAACAGAACCTCAGGGTTCCTGAGCGGAGGAACTCTGCTCAAACTTGCACCCAGCGCTCGTTCAGGTCAGGCACGGTCACCGTGAGCCGTGGGGTTGGACGCCAGCGAACCCAGAGCTGGATCTTTCACACCCAGAGACGCCCGCACCGCGCGCCCTCCGCCCGCGCCCCACACCCGAATGCAACGCGGCCCCGGTGACCCCGGCGCCCCGGGCGCAGCACCGCGCGTGGGGCCCCGAGGGGCGGCGCATCGGGAGGAGGAGGAGACAGGAGCAGGAGAGCGCGGGGACCTGGGCAGCTGGCGCTCACCTGGGACCCGGGAGCCAGGAACCGGGGCCGGAGCGCCAGGTCTCGCAGCAGCCTGCCCGCCAGCGCGGCCGCGGGGGACGCCATCTTAACCAGGAACCGGGCGGGAGTCTGGAGGGCGAGCCGGGCGGGCCGGGG